CCACTAAGTTTTTTTTTTTAACTCAGGAGCTAAAATGTTTAGTTTTCAAATGTTGCTAACCTCGCTTTGTTGGTATATTTATACATCATTCAACTATATATAGTAAAAGTGAGGGGACGAGATTCTGGAGCTAAAGAAAACGTACGCAGATTATACTTTCTCATAGGACACAGTTTTAATATTTAACTAAAATAATCAAATCAAACCAAATCAAGCAGTGTCGGCTGCCTCGCAAGGACTGTATGACGGCTCCCTCCCCAGAACAATCTAACATGGGGAAAGTTGCAGAATGTATTAAACTTACCCCATATCGACCCGCTTTATTTGTGCACCAAAGTTTTGAGGACGAATTTAATTTCATGCTCCCGCGAAAACGAATTATCAAAGTTTTAAAATGGACCAGATCGCGGACATCGTGCCGCCATCAATAGCTAGTGCATGCAGCTAATTGAGTGTGGGCAGCATGTTGCTATTATGGTTTAGTTCGGCATAATCTACTCTATAGCTAAGCTAAGAATATCAACCAGTTCATGTGATTTCATAAATTACCGTTTTGTTTACTGCATTTTTTTTAAAATCTGTTTTCCTGAGAACAATAATTGTATCTTCTGGTTTCAACGTAAAAGTTGTCCGAGACAAAGATTAAAATCTCGTTGTCAGCAAATCCGCCGTAAACTACATAATTTACCCATTTTCAAGTAATATTCTGAAGAGCAAAATGTACAAGTTTGTTTGGACATGCCTGCCGCCCCTCCTTATTCGCAATCCACCGGTCGCCACTGGAGCCAAGTTAAGAATATTGTTTCCAAGATTTAAACGAATAATTTGGTCAGAAACACATGCTATTGTATTTCATGAAAGGCTGTGAGAAATTAAGCACGATGAATTTTGTTACTTACATACTACAAAAGAGCACAAGTATGTTGAATTCTGTACTTTAATGCCTCACCCTTACTTCTTGCTCACCTCTTTACACGCCTCGATCACCTTTTCACATTTCATGAATATTTATAAGGGGCTCGTGTTTGCTTCGACCGCTTCATTCAGTGACGCACAAGCAATCAGAATACTGAATCCAATTTACTGGGTGCATGTTGTGTTCGTCCTCAACCTCTCGCCGCACGGGAAGTGAGGCAAATGTATTCCGAAAGCCCTACCGGACATCACGAACTCCTCGACGAAAATAATAAGTTATAATCAATCAACAAAATTCGACTTTCCATGTACCTGCGAAATGTATGTCTTATAACGCAACACGCTTTAGTGAATGAGGGAATGTGAACGAGTGTCATGATCATTTTTGAGCATAGGCAAGGGATGAGACATCTTTAGGCCCTCCTCTTCCCTGAGTATGAAGTCGGTATTGGTTTGCATTTACCTCTCTGTATGTTATGGTAACGTAATCACGAGTAGTGAATTAAGATGGTGGATGAATGATATGGAAGAGATAATGGTTCATGATACGTGGAGCCAACCACACTATGAAAATACCCATATCTTCTTTAGGGTTTGAATCGGCAGTCCTCATGGCTCCACATTCTAAAACACTGCTACCGAAGTCGGCAGCAAGAGGATAGGGAGTTTTCGCTCGGCATAACGTACACTCACTACAGCACGTACTACTACACGTAATAAAGCAATGAACTGCAATTTTGATCTTCTGCCCATGTGCGGGTGAACAAGTGATGCGAAACTAACTGCGCATGCGCAAAAGATCGATAGTGTTGCCGATTGCTGCAACACTTCGACATGCAAAAACTCGCTAATAAAATGGCGAAAAAGCAAGAAACTTGAGCTCGTGCCTTGGTCACACTGAGCTCTTCTTAGGCCAAGAATGTCGAAGTCACGGCACTAAGCACACACGGCACTAACTAGCTCTCAGAGTTCACAGCAACTGCCGTGGGATTTAAAAGCAAGGAGTTGATTGATAGTAATTCCGAACGCCTCAACTGCAAAGGTAGTTAGTCCCATAAATGTACTGCAAGTGTTTTCCTGCGTAGGTGGGGTGATCTTCCCCTACTTAATGAGATCCGGCGCCGCCCTACACGCCGAGTATCGTGATTTTCGAATCAAGTATCATCCACCAGCGGCGCACCGTCCCAGCCGGAACAAGCTCTAAACTCCCGACAACTGTGGTAATTTAAGAGTGTGTAAATAAGGTTGTGAGGATAGGACAACGAAGGGGAAGGAAATATTGCGCGTGGCCCGTCTGTTAGGGTCCTGCTCAGGCATTCCCCTGCTGTTGATCGGAGAAACCACGGAAAACTACGGACCAGAGAAGCTAGCCGCTACAATTCTCCTCTAGACAGCAGCTGAATTCGACCTAGCTATGTAGTTAGTGACGAGAATTCTGCCGCTGTCGGATCTCAACCCTAGGACCTCCCGGTCGGAAGTACTGCAGTGAAATCAGTTGATACCATGAGCTACCAGTGCAATCAGGAGTGCCTAAGGAGTTGTACCAACAGCTCCGAAGTTTTGGTACGTTAGTTGAAACCTGGCTCATGGCAGTATTTTTGGAGAAAGCAGTTGACAGTTTTTGATAAAAACGACATTAAGTACTTCCTCTATTAAAGCAAAGAAATGCAATACATCAATTATATTTCAAATGTTTCATTGGGAGTAAAATTAAATATTTTTAATCGAAAATATCTTGATTTCGTAATCGCATTTCCTTTAGAGTGCAATAATTGCATTTACCTCCTACGTTCAAATTACGAAATATAGCAAAGATTCTTGTCTGTAAATTTATTTCACATTATTGCTTTATACAACAAATAACAAAATGATCGAATAAAATATAACAAACAAATCGATTAAAACATATTTCCCCCCAAACGCAGAAAATAAATATAGGTAACTACTACTGCTCGCCCAATCCCGCGCAGTAGATGTGAACGGCGAGTGTTCGCTTCCTTTCATGTGTCCAGCAGACACGCGGTGGGCAGAACGAGCTCCGAACATTCGTCGCTCGGCACACAATAAACTCACCTACACTACTAGGGTTTCGGCGAATAGTCGCTCGCTACTCTCCGAATATCGACTGTGTGGAACCGCCTACAGGCTATGTGATTTTTATTCGTCGGAGCACTCCAGTTGTCCCTTCGGTTGACTTATTCCACAAGACCCCTCAAGATTTCCAGAGGCAAAGAATTTGAAATTTCCTTCTCAGGAAACCATTTCACACTAGGAAACAACTGTCTGCCGGGGCATATTTTGAGCATTCTTAAGAGAATTTCACGCCCGCTGCATATCATAGGTTGTATTCACAGCCAAAACCTTCGTATTTTCTTTCCGCTCAATCTAATGATTGCAAACTTTGTTACGTATATTTCGTTCGTAACATTGGATTAAATCAACATTGCATATACGACTGACGTATTTTTGAGTCCCCTGTCCCCAAAGTATTTTCTAAATAAACATCTCCATATCTAAAGTCGCCTGCGGGCAAAAGAAAAACTTCTGTAATGCCCTAGGGTCGTCAGGAGTTCCTCCCTTTAACTCAACTAGATCATCGCGTAAGTGGATGCCTCTTTTCGCCCATCGTGAGCCATACTCCCCACCACGGCATGCTCCGGCAAAGACTATATAGTAGGACGTTCGCTGAGGTTGGTGCACGTTGCAATTTTACACTGTGAGCTGACGGAAGCCCAGATGAGGGGGAAAACCGAACCAGTCGCATTTTTTTCTTGTCCCACCGCAATCTACGCAATCTTTCTTGACGCACGTAAATTAGTGTGTTATTTCATTTATAGTATTTATGCAATCTCCTTTCCTCTTAAAAATACGAGCTAGCCCCTTTGCCATTTAAGGACATTTTGAAGAAATATATATATATATTTTTCAAATAAATAACGGCAATAAATGAACTATGAGAAATCGATACTCTTGTAAAGAGGAGATTGGAAAATAAGCGATGCCGTCTACTCCAAGCACTGATAGCAATTTCGCTTTCCATTTCGCATCGAACCGACGCAGACTGTAGAAAAACGACATCCAAATTTTATTGTAGCTAGAAGCTGATAGAGAAATACCACCCGTTCCTTAGTCAACTTGACATGACATTCAATTTGCCTTAAGACTCAAATCATTTGTTGAACGGTACATGTATCAACGTTTTGTTTTGAGACATCAAAGACGCAAGCTGTCTGCATTATAATAGGTTTACGTAGGTACCAAGTAACATCCTCATCCATGCACAACCGTCAAGTCAATATGTCCTTGTCCTTGATTTGAAGGTAAACAACTCGCTCCCGAGTACTTCGCGGCACCCGAAAAATCTTCATTGCCTCGGGTGCATAACAATGGCTTCAACTAATATTACAAATCAATAGATCATTTCTTTGCTTCCAACGCAAAAAGATAAAGTTCATAGAATACATTATTTTCATGCAAGGGGAAAAAAAGATTACCTTCCAAATTGATAAATAGGTTTGTGTTGGCTGACATAAGGATATCACATACATCTTATCAGAACTGAGAGAGAGCTCATTTCACACATACACAAAGTAAAAATTTAAATGCACGATAAACTGAATTAAATGTATGATCTTATCTGATGTTTGTAATAATACCTCTCAGAGCGAATGTCAAACATTAAATGGAAAACAAATATCCTAATAATTACAACATGCATCATTCAAAAATGGCAGTGTCAAAGAGCTGTAGCAATATAACACTGATAATACGAAATGTTCAAATGCTAATATTGGAACGCTTATGCCAATCAAAATTACCAAGGGAAAAGCAATGCAGCCACATTCAAAAGATTCAATGTCATCCCAGTTGTTGGGCATTAGTTTGTCATGAATCACTTGTTGAACACAATCTACATAACCTATTCAGAACAAAAACATGCCAAAATAGACCAGTTCAAAGGACTAGAAAATTCTTACACTGACATACTTTAATTATTTTCATTTACAGAATTGTCATCAGAACTATGTCTCACGTATTCGTGAAAAGTAATGGCAAATTTTAGTATACAAATAAAGATACTGTACCTTTATAATATATTGTCTAATCCAAACAGTGAAATCGCATCACAAAATGCAAGACAGCGAAGCATAACACATTTCTTCTTTCATTCTTGGCCAATAATTCCACGTGACACATCTGCAACGTGTAACATACTTTTCACAACTACGGCCGAATTCTGTAGGTAAATGAGTAGTGTTTATGTTAGTACACATCACGATCGCGGCCAACTGTTTACGTGCATATACGTACTCAATGTAAAACAGGCGGTCTGTATAGGTCTGTATGTTTTTCTGTAGTCGTTACGCATGGCAATGACAGTTCTCTGGAAGAACGTATGAGTATCGAAATATATCAAAGGATCGTTGCGATACGATTCTTCGACGTGTATGGAAGTGCACTACGTTCGATATATAAGCGTTAGGGGCGTTATGGAGATGTTACACCTACTTTCATTTTAGCAGCTGTATTTATTATTATATTAAGATGTGAAACTTATACGTACGCGTGTTCATTGCGGATTAAATTGATAGTAGGTAATACAATGTAACTTCTGTTGGTCTCATAACTGTACTGCGTAAGCAAATAATCTCAGTGGCGTGTGCCTTCCTGTATATTTACGTACGTTTGCCTTTTAACTGAGGTGATGATTCCTTAAATTTTACATTTTAAATATCTGAATATCGATTTTGACATTCGTGAAATGAAATTTGAACCACTCGGATCACGAAGGTGTAGTGTTTTGATCGAGGATCTCGGTCAAGTCGCTACCTGTGAAAGGTTATGACAGTTACCTAGAGCTCCGGGCTTGGAGTAGTGTACCTCCTACAGCCCTTTTTCTGACTAGAACGTTATTTAGTATTTGTAAGTTAACCCATTTACCGTCAGAAATGATTAGTGAGTGTTCCAAGTTGCCTATAAAAATGAAAATATTGCCCAAGAGAATGTCTTCCAATTCAGGGTAAGAAAATAGTAATTTGAGGTCATGATATTTTTTATTTACAGCTCTAGAGAGTTAACCAGTTTTAGTGACAGGTGTAGCATTATCAATATTAATTTATTTTGTATAGTAGGTTAATAGAATTTTGGAGAGGTGATACATAAGCTAGAAAAAATATAATTACTTTTTTATCACAATATATAAACCTACAAAGGTGTTGTGTTTTTTTATAATTAATAAATCCTAATCCTAACATTTATTATTGAAAAAATAAATTGTTCTAAAATATTACATATTGTTGATCTACTAGTGAAACTCAAGACCAAAACTCAGGTTTTAAGATTAATGAAGTAAATTCTGTTAAATTTGTCTACTAGATATATTTTACTAGATAGCAGATAGGCATGTGTTATTTTTAAACTCTCATTTTAATATGTAATAAGGTTTTTAAGAAACAAACAAGAAAAAACAATTGATTTCTCCTGTGTATTTTCACTGTTTTGTAACTTAATTAAAGAGGAAATGATTCACAAATTTGTCTATCCAAACTCCAGAAGTTCAATGATTTCACTTATCAAAAGAATAGAAAAAACATGACAGTGATTTAAGTAACTCAAAAACACTGAAAAGGGACTGTGTGAATTTCACAAGTTAACAGATGATGTTAATTTTTTTTTTTTTTTTATCCCAGAGTTTCTTGATAATATATTTCTAACAGTATGATCTCTTTTAATACGTGTAATATTCAGTTAATTGAAGATCATAAAATTGTAAATATATTGAATCTTTCATTGCTTAACTGTCTTGTTTCCTCTTGACTGAAGTATTTATTTTATATTTATTATAATGCTTATTATATTGCCCAACTGGGGATAGATCAATGAGGGGTGAATCAATTATCTAACTCAAGTGCTGTAAAGTATCAAGTCACCAATACATTACCATGCCTTTTACGCAATGAAAAGTTCTCAATGGTATCTCGTAAAGAAAATGTAAATGCTTCATTTGCGAAATAAATTGTTTATCCAGTTCATTTAGGTATAAATTTGTTTCCTGAAATGGCAACAATTAGAATTTTGAAAATGATTTATTGTGTTTTATATAAAATGATACAATATTAATAAAACAAATTGTCTGCTTATTCTATTGGTAATAATTTTTTTTTAAAGAATGTTGTTTAATAAAAATAAATTAAAGCAATATTCTTATAAAAAAACTCTTTACGATTAATTTAGTTCATGAATTTAGCACAAGTTAAACACAAGTATTCAATTGTCAAAAATATGGTTTGAATGCACTTTAAAATTTCAATGTTCCTGTATGTTGTAATTAATCTTTTACGTTTATGTTTTTAAATTCTCACTTTTTGAAAGCAAAAGCGTTGAGAAGTTTAATAGTTGTGTATGGTTTAATAAAAGATTTAGTATGATATAAAAACTTTCAAAATTCTGATGTACATTTAAAGGCCTTGAGATCAGATAGTCCAATACACCATGAGTCAGATAGTCGGCAAAAATTGAGAGATTACCATATGGACGTCAGCCTTTCAGTTTGTCTCGGGACTCGTAAGTATATTGAATTTTGACAATAAATGACAAAATAATACAATAAAGTTTATTCCAGATTCTGTATGTTATAGACATTTTTGTCTTATAACTTAATTTCAGTCTGAGGACTATCTGCTCCCGAATCCTTTGTTAATGGAAGCCACCAATTGTAGAACTCAACCTGTCAAGAACTAGGATTTTCAAATGCTTGATTGATTATTTTGTGCACACATCAATCCCATACTATATGTAAGTAAATAATATTGGTAGAAACAATTTATTTACATTTAATTTCTGATTCTTTCTGGAGTTTAACTTTTTATTATTTTTCGAGAGTTGTTGATAATTTTAATATATTTTTGCATCATTGCCTATTGTAAAAATAATTTCTTGTATTCTATTAGTTAGCTCGTGGGCTCTGATTTTATAGGTATTTAGAACCAAATGTGAAATAGCCACTTATTTATCAATAGAAAATAATTTCCTTAAAAAATATACTACAGTTTGTGGCCAAGCAAAGTATATTGTCTGCATTTCAGGTTTTGGAACTGTACTTGTAATCAGTATATCAAATCCTATTATATCTTATTTTTGAGACAAAATTTAAGGCATTCCCAGCAGGCATGGATCCACGGGAGGAAACCACGGAAAATGTTTACCCTACAATTTTTCAGCAACCATTAATTTTTATTTGTCATGAAACTTTCAAGCAAAAATATTTTCAGATAACCATTACAACAAATAAAATCCTATCACAACATGAGCTGAGTGTAGCCCGACATTTTACAGAATCTGTAGTATGACACATTTGACTAAAGCCTGTTGAATTCCCTTTCCCAAAATTTGTCTCTGGTTCTGCCCCTGTTCCCAGGGGGCACTAACACTTTAGTTACTGTGTTGTTTTAGGCATGTGTCACATGAGCATTGTGTTGCGTTTAAGTAATGTAAATTAACACTGTATCTTATGCGGAACGGCCTAAACACTCGTGTGGCATTTCACGTAAGATAGTGTTTACCTACAACATGTGTCGATGCAACATTTGTGGCCTTGAGCCCTTAATGAGATTGTCTTCAAAGGCCATGAAAACCCTGAGTTGGGAACACTCCCATACACATTTAAGGTGTGCAATTTAATCCATTGAAGATTTTGAGATTATTTTTTCTTTGCCGTGCTAAATGAAGTTTTCTTCAGTTCTAGTAATTTTCATAGTGTCTCCAGTTCATAGCCCTTGTATTTCACATGTGTTGCCTTCACAAATGTTGATCAGTGAGTATATGGCCTGTATATAATTTATATTTTTCACCCCCCCTCCCCAATTATGTACATACTCACACTTCACAATTATAATAAAATTAAAACAAAATTTAAACATTCATTATTCATTCTGGATTTGTATCTAACTTGAAAAAGATTTAAGAAAAAGTCCTGAATAGATTTTATTTTTCATCAGCAGCCTTAGAAACAATTCAAATTAGGTACAATCATGATATTTTATTCTTTCAGTTCGTGTTTGCTAAATTTTAAGTATCAAACGCAATTCTACGGTTTTCTTCTCAGTATTTTAGAATACTTCTGATCAATGGCCTATATTGAGAGTAGAATCTGGGACTTCGGTTATAGGAAAGGGAAGAATATGTTTAAAGCTGCAATAAGTTATTAGAGTTAATGTTCTCAATAAATCATGTGGAGGACACCCTTCATATACTAAGTTGTAGAACTTATTTTATGCTTGTGTATGAATTTATTTATGTAAGTTAAGGTATATACAATATTACACATCCCCTTTTATTTTACCCTAAGACCATACCTGTGTATTTTTTTTTAGTAGTAATAGTAATAATAATATTATTAATATTAATTATTATTATTATTATTATTATTATTATTATTATTATTGTAATTATTCAGTGGAATGCCTGTTTGTTTGTTATATGTATGTGTGTGTGAGTTTATTGTACATTAAAAAAATTAAATTGGTAAATATAGTTTATTTGAGAATATTATCAAGAATTCCTAGAAGACCTTCAAAAACAGATTTTCATTAATTTTAATGTTTAATAGTTTTATTCTACACATAAAATTTGATCGCAATTATTAGCATATGGGTTACATATTAGAAATTCTTTCCATGCCTTTTCTGCCTCAATTCTGAGAACATATCCTTCTGATCTTTGCACAAATTTTTATAAAATATTAACATCTTTTGAAATCTGATTACTTCATGATATACTTTTAGGTTAAAATTACTTTTATTAGGTTTAGTTTACTATAGAGACACAAGTACGAATGGATTTTCAACTTATCTTGTAATAATGATGTTCTTCTTTAGAAAAAATGAGGTTTTTAATTCAAACAAAATTACTACTTTTTTATTTTACTTGAAGTAGCAAAAATATTTTATAAAATTTCTTTGACAACATTATTTTATAAAACATAATGTGGAATATTTGCTCTTCATGTGTGAGTTGAAATGGATGTTATTTTGTATGAGAACAAATTAATTATATTTGTCATGCTTAATTGAATACAATGTTTAGTTGTATCAGTTTCTCCATCATATTTAATTATTCTTTCAATGACCATTGTTTATCATTGTTCCATAATTGCGGTTATACTGTGTCAAATTTCAATGCCTTATGCGATTAATGGTGCTGGACATCTGGATTTCAGTTGCTCCCTTTTCAAATATTAGCTAATTAAATTATTGATATAACATTTTCACTTCATTTGGTATATATAGTGTGATGGAATGTGAATGATAATGAGAATTGAGCAAGTGGTGGAGAAGATCATGGCAAGGGATGTAGGAAAATCTCATTAAGTCCTGCCTCTACCTTGTT